CTGGGATTACAGGCATGAGCCACTGTGCCCGGCCAACTTATTTTTCTTATTCTTAATATGGCTACTAGATAAGTTTGTTCAACATAATATAGGATAAGTATCCCTTATCCAAAATGATTGGGACTAGAAATGTTTTAAATTTCAAATTCTTTTCTGATTTTGAAATATTTACATTATACCAACCAGCTGAACATCTCCAATCTGAAAACCCAAAATCTAAAAGGTTCCAACAAGCATTTCCTGTGAGGTTCATGTTGGTGCTTTAAAAGGTTTGTGCTTTGGATTTTGGATTTTTGGACTGGTGATGCTTAACCTGTAACAGCAACAATGTATGTGATTAGGTATGCTTTTAAATGTATTATATACACACACATATGCTTATATATATATGTGAAATGAATGACAGTAAATTTATAAGGTGCTGAAGAGAGGATTTAGGTATATTCTATTGTCAAAAGGCAAAGTGGTATAGTTGTATTTGAAGGTTGATTTGGATTACAGTGGACCTTTGAACAACACAGGTTTGAACTGTGCAGGTCCACTTATACATAAATTTTTCAGTAAAAGTTACAGAATGTGCCTGACCCTCCTGCCTCCCTTTCCATCTCCTCCACCTCTTCTGTCGCTGCCACTCCTGAGATAGCAGGACTAACCCTTCATCTTCCTCAGCCTACTCAATGTGAAGATGATAAGAACGAAGACCTTTACAATGATCCACTTGAACTTAATGAACAGAAAGTATATTTTCTCTTCCTATGATTTTCTTAATAACATTTTTTCTCTAGCTTATTTTATTGTAATAGTATAGTATATAATACACAAAACATACAAAATATATGTTAATCAACTTATCAGTAAGGCTTCTGGTCAACAGCAGCTAATAGTAGTTAAGTTTTTGAGCAGTCAAAAGTTACATGCAAGGCCAGGTGCGGTGACTCACGCCTGTAATCCCAGCACTTTGGGAGGCTGAGGTGGGCGGATCACTTGAGGTCAGGAGTTCATGACCAGCCTAGTCAACATGGTGAAACCTCATCTGTACTAAAAATACAGAATTAGCCTGGTACGGTGGCATATGCCTGTAGTCGCAGCTACTCAGCAGGATGAGGCAGGAGAATTGCTTGAACCAGGGAGGGGGAGGTTGTAGTGAGCCGAGATCACACCACTGCACTCCAGCCTGGGTGACAAAGTGAGACTCTGTCTCAAAAAAGGAAATAGCACTACATACTGATTAGAATGGCCAAAATCTGGGAGACCAAGAGCTCAAGGCTATAGTGAGCTGTGATCGCACCACCACACTCCAGACTAAATGACAGCGCAAGACCCTGCCTTTTGGGGGCAAAAAAAAATGACCAAAAATCCACACATTGACACTACTAAATGCTGGCAAGAATGTGAAGCAACAGGAGCTATCATTTACTGCTGGTGGAAATGTAAAGTGGTACCACCACTTTGGAAGGCAGTTTGAAAGTCTTTCTTTTCTTTTCTTTTTTGAGAGAGTCTCACTCTGTTGCCCAAGCTGAAGTGCGGTGGTGTGATTTCAGCTCACTGCAACCTCTGCCTCCCAGGTTCAAGTGAGTCTCCTGCCTTAGCCTCCCAAGTACCTGGGATTACATGCAAGTGCCACAATGCCTGGCTAATTTTGTATTTTTAGAGAGGAAGTTTCACCATGTTGGCCAGGCTGGTCTCAAACTCCTGACTTTAAGTGATCCACTCCCCTCGGCCTCCCAAAGTGTGGGATTACAGGCATGAGCCACCATGGCCGGCCTGAGAGATTCTTGTTCATTTGTCTTACAAAATCAAATATACTCTTACCATTCAATGCAGCACTTGTGCTCCTAATTTACCCAAGTAAGTTAAAAACTAATGTCTACCCAAAAATCTACACACGTTTATAGCAGCTTTTTCACAATTGCAAAAACTTGGAAGCAACCAAGATGTCCTTCAGTAGGTGAGTGGATAAAAATAAACTATGGTATATCCAGACAACAGGATATTATTCAGTGCTAGAAAGAAATGAGCTATCAAGCCATGAAAAGATATGGAGAAAACTTCAGTATGTGTTACTAAGTCAAGCCAATCTAAAAAGGCTACACTGTATGATTCCAACTATATGACATTCTGGAGAAGGCAAAACTATGGAGACAGTAAAAAGATTACTGGATGCCAGGAGTTAAGGCGAGAAAGGACTAAACAGTCAGAGCACAGATAATTTTTAGGGCAGTGAAAAGACTCTGTATGATACTATACTGGTAAATATATATCACGATAATGTTGCCCAAACCCACAGAATGTATATCTTAATGTAAACCAGTGGCTGGGTGATGTGTCAGTGTAGACTCATCAACTGTAACAAATGTAGCACTCTGATAGGGAGCTGATAATGGGGAGCCTACACATAGGTTAGGGCAGGAGGTATATGGTTTATCTCAGTATCTTCCTCAATTTTGCTGTGAACCTAAAACTACTCTAAGATATAAAGTTTATTAATTAAAAAAAAAAAAAAAAAAAAACTATGAAGTTTCCATTTCCAGAATGACTGGGTATGTATCTACTGAACTGACATTACTGACGCTGTAACCTACTTATGTAGTAGATATTTAATACTGAATTGAACTGTATGGAATAAATGAACCTACTTTCAAATTAACAAGCCTCATATTATTCAACAGACTCAAGAGTGAAGGTAAAGGATCATGGCACATCCTGTGGATTTAAATTTCAGGATGTTTAAGATTTGAGGATATAATCTAATGTTAAGTGGGATCAGTGTGGAATAATCAGTGCTGCCTATCTCAGCAGCTTGATAAGTATAGTCTACAGTCACGAATTGGGCTTTTATGTCCATTCTTGCCCTCTAGATTCTCTGCAGTGATTTGCTGAGATAATAAAGATGACGCTAACATAAGTAAAGTTCTAAGCATTTTACACACATTAACTCAAAGCTGGAGTCTATACAGATCCAGGCAGGCTGAAAAGGCCAGGTGGTGTTCTCAATCAAAGCTGCTTGAGTAGGGAAGATTTAGTATTAAATGCTAACTGTGGGGAATCTAAATAGAGAGACAATAATCTCAGAGAAGAGCAGCCAGTAATAACTACTGCCCAGTACTAACATTACAGTTGTGTAACTATATCCAAGGTCTAGACATGTTAAATTTATTTCTATATGATAAAAAGGTCAAGTCAGATGTAAGCTGAGTTTCTTTAAAAATCCAGCTAATTTCAGTCAACTTTTTTTTTTTTTTTTTTTTTTTTTTTTTTTTTTTTAAGAGGAAAGCATCTAAGCACAATGAGAGCTTTGCTTTAAAGGTCAAGTATGTCTCCAATTCCCTGGGATCCCTGTTCTCTTGGTGGTATATTCTAAAGTGACAGCTAGTGATTGAGAGATTTACTCATTTTTGGAAAAGGGCCATCACCACACTAAAAGGCTGGCTTCTAGGCTAAGAGAATCTGAGCCAAAGAAGGTGAGATCCTTCTCCCAAGGACAAAGTTCAGTTACAGAATCACCAGACTCTCAGAGCCCTCAAATACTCCACATGCACCCTCAGTTTCTCCCTCCAAAGACTAAACTGTGAACGAGGAAACAAATCCATGGAGAATAAACTCATTCAGCATGATGCTGACCTGTTTCACTGCTTTGATACCCTTCTTTAATGCCCAATGACAGACAAGGTCCAGGCTTAGGACAACAGTGACCATGGCTTTCTATGCCCAGGCAGCAAGCTCTGAACAGTTCTAAGCCTGTCAATTTCTACTGTCAATTTCTTTCCATTGTAAATAGTGTTGCAACGAACTGCACAGCAGTGCAGCAGCCCTTTCAGCAAAGCTGAGTCCTATGGTTAGTTCCCCTGGAATTCAAGAGTGTATCTTCTACACAGAAACACAAGGCTAGCTCCGATGAGGTCTTTCTTCTGCCCCTCTACTGGGAAACAGAGTGTGCCAGAATCAATATATGTGCAAGTCTCATATACTTTTCTTTTCTTTTCTTTTTGAGATAGGGTCTCATTCTGTTGCTGCCCAGGCTGGAGTGTAGTAGTATGATCTTGACCTCCATGGGCTCAGCTGATCAGGTGATCCTCCCACCTCAGCCTCCTGAGTAGCTGGAACTATAGGCGTACACCACTATGCTCACCTAAGTTTTGTATTTTTTTGTAGAGATGGGGTTTTGCTATGTTGCCCAGGCTGGTCTCAAACTCCTGAGCTCAAGCAATTGGCCCATCTCGGCCTCCCAAAGTGCTGGGATTATAGGCAAGAGCCACTGTGCCCAGCTGCCTTGTAATTTTTATATATTTTTCAGAGCCATGTAAATCAGTCCTTACACTGTCAGGAAGAGCCCACATTCCAGGTGAAGCAGCCTGAATCCATGAGGTCATTTGCTGTAATTTCAATATATAATGTCAGTATCATTATGAAACAAATACTCCAAGCTGGGTGTGGTGCCTCACACGTAGAATCCCAGTACTCTGGAGATCAAGGTGGGAGGATCACTTGAGCCTAGGATTTCAAGACCAGCTTGGGCAACATAGAGAGACTTCATTTCTATTTAAAAACAAACAAAAAAACACTCCTCTTGCTTTTGTTATCTCCTAATCTAAGAGTGGGAAGGTTAACAGGAGTCCCATGAGACAAAAAATCCTCTCTGTATGCCCTAAGCCTTGGGCATGGTAGGACAAAATATTAATGGACCCATCATCAAATGACCCAAGATGAATGGAGCCGTAACACACTAGAACAGAGGCCATAAACCCAGGACACATACCTGGCTCCAAGGTACGTACAAGACTAACAGGAATGTTGAGAGAACAAGGTAAGAAACTGCTAAGAGTCAAAAGCTGGCTAACTCATTCTCGTACAGAAAGCAAATCCATGAGCTCTGTATGCTTCAGTCAGCCAAGTAAAGTGACAATGTAATATACTGAACTGCAAAACGTGAGAAGTAGAAAAGAAATCAGGCATCTGCAGCCACTCTTTCATTCGACCTTTCTTAACCTTCAAGCACTCACCTGTGTGGCCATGGAGTGGTGAGTGTGGCCGTGGCAGTGTAGGTGATGTGCTAGAGGTCACAATCAAGCTCTTGCGGTTACTTGTCCGACAACTGCAATGAAAACAAAATTTGAGTTATAATAGGGCCACACCATGGGCCCAGAGACCTTGAGTGGCCCTTAAGGAACAAAAGAGTGACACCATTCCATGAACTGCACAGTATACTTCTTTAACCTGAACTGGGTCAGCAGTTACACTCGGCACCAGTTAGATTCCATAAACCACTGTGTTCCACCTTGGAATAACTTTTGCCACCGCCTTGACTTTCATCTTGTATTGTCATTGCGCTTTTCCAATGTTTAGTTTTGCTTCCCAGGCAAACGCAAGGAGCTCCCTATGTGAACAATCATGTTCTAAACAGTATCTCATGAAGAATGACCACTGCAAATTGATTTACAAAATAAAGAACACAAATCAAAATATTCTTATATTCTCTAAGAATTCCCCCAAAATATTGATTTAATTTATGAAATTATTATTTTTAGAACTGTTTAGTCTGTGAATTAAGTAATATTCTCATTTCAGAATGAATGTCAGAACAGGCCTGGGTTTATTCTATAAACCTGGATTTCCATGCTTTCCATTACATGTTAATGCGGCGGCTTCTTCTTCTGGTTGGAGACAACCAGATGATGATGAAAAACCATTTCATGTAACATCTATTACTGAAAAGTCAGTATAATTTATTTGAAAGTCTATCTTTTAAAGGCATTAGGGAAGTTTATATTCATCATTTTCTTTTTGAGATGGGGTCTCATTCTGTTGCCATTTATATCTATCCAAACATTTATTGAACACCTACTTTGCACTAGGCAGTGTTTTAGGAGAGAAGCAGTAGGGAAACAAAAGAACAGTCTCTGTCCTCATAACTGAAGCGAGCAGTGCTGTGGGAAAAGGAAGAGGAAAAGAGGAGGGGAGAGGGGAGAAGGGAGAGGGGGGAGGGGGAGGGGGAGAGAGGAGAGAGAGGGAGAGAAAGAGAGGCAAAGAGGGAGAGAGAGAGAGAGAGAGGAGAAAGGAAATAAGAGCCTTGTGTGGGAGTGCAGATTAAGGAAGTGAAATCTGATGAGAGAGCTGAATGATATGAAGGACTCAGACAAAAGTAGAGCTGAGAGGCAGGGAGAAAAGTAAAAGCACTGAGACAAGAACAAATTTGGGATGTTCAAGAAACAGCAAAGAAGTCAAGAGTGGGTAACAGGAGAGGAGAATGACAGAAAAAGAAGTAGGTTATAGAAAGGCCGGGCGCGGTGGCTCAAGCCTGTAATCTCAGCACTTTGGGAGGCCGAGGCGGGTGGATCACGAGGTCAAGAGATCAAGACCATCCTGGTCAACATGGTGAAACCCCGTCTCTACTAAAAATACAAAAAATTAGCTAGGCATGGTGGC